CAGCATTTTATGTTACCATATTAGCAAGGTATAAAGCAGTATAACTTGTATAAGCCCTCTCTACAGATAAGGGAAGTGATTTTTAAGGAATGCAGGAGTAAAAATAAAATGCAAGCATCAATTTCTATGGACAGAGACTTAATTCCAAATAGAATATATATGTAAATAATAAGGTCATTCATTGGGTCTAATTGAGTCCAGACACGGGGAGTTATCAACAGTGTAAAATCTTATTTTCCCCCTGAAAACCAGTGGTTGTTTTGGAGATTGGGGGTAACAGTAAGTGGATCAATCTGTATGTATGGGTATCTTCTATGTGGCAGAACTGTTCTAGGTGCTGGTGATATGGCAGAGGACAAGATGGAAAGAGTCCCTGCCTTTAAGGAATTGGGTAGAGACAGGCAAGAAACTATTACTCCTCCAAGCCTAGAAGGGATGTGTTCTGTTAACTCTTTAGAAAGATCACTTTGGTTACTATGTGGCACACAGGCCTCGGCCAGGAGTTAGGAGTAAAGTTAAAGTGACCATTTAGGAGGTGGTCCTGCAACTCAAAAATGAGGAAGGGAAATGCCAAAAAAAAAATCAGATCCCTTCTCATTACAAATACACCTTCCCTTTATGATAGAATATTAGACAATTTGTAGTATCCTCAACCAACTTGGATGGGTCACACACACTGGACACTGATGTGCCCATTTCACAAATAAAGATTCGGAGATCCAAAAGAGTAAAATGGCTTATTCCAAGTCACAAAGCTAATTAGTGGGAAAGTTGGAAGCAAAGTAAAGGTCTCCTACTTCTAGCCCCCATACCCTCCTCCTCAAAATGAATCATCAGTATCTTTTAAGAAAATCCAAAAGATTTAGTAGTTCCATCAGCTTTAGTTCACTCTGAAACTCCTCTAGGAAAGGCTTCTAAGAAAATTTTACTTACTCATTAAACAAGGATTTATTGAGGGTCTACGAGGTACAAGGCATCTTGCTAGGTGCTTGGGATTCAGAGATAAGTAGGAGATTTTCTGTGTGGGAAGTTTGCCCTCCTGTGGGAGAGCCAGGCTAAGTAGCTCACAGTGAAAACAGTGGGACAAGCACCATTACAACGACATCCTGAAGTGCCATGGAACCTAAGACAGGGGGCACCTAAGTTATTCTGGCAGTGGGGAGATGTGCCTAAGAGGAAGCGATCCTTAAATTGTGTTTTGAAGAAACAGTGGGACTTAGCCAGAGTGCACGGAGTGGCAAGAATTAAAGGAAACAGCATGAGCAAAGGCACAGCAGTGAGACACAGGATGGAGTAACTGAGTAAGGCTGGAGCCCAGAGTGTACCTTAGAGGTGAAGAAAGAAAGATGGACAGAGGCCATGTCATAAAGTGTCTTGTGTATTGTTTCAAGGAATTTGGTTAACTTACACTATGGTCTCCACTTTCCCAACTCTTAACCTTCCTCAATCCACTTAATTCACATTTATGACCCTCACCACAAAGATTATAGGTAAGGGGATGATATGACAAGATTTACACTTTAGGGAAAACACTATGGTGCCGGGGTGGAAAGCTGGAAGGCTGAGAACAGAAGCTGGATGATTAAGTAGGAGAATATTACAAATAATCCAATGGAGGTATACAAAGAAACAGGGATAGTAGCAACAGCAAAAGAGAGAGGGAATAGATATGAAAAATATTTATAAAGTGAATACACAGAATTTAATGATCATTTGGATGGCCAGCAGGGGCAAGTATGACAAAAATAAAGGTGTCAAGGATGACTTGCAAGTTCTTAGCTTGGGTGACTGGACTATTTCTTCTAGTTTAAAATACCTATAAGTTCTGATCCATGGCATTATACCAGGCAAAGATATACTGGACAAAGTGAGGAGCTACATATATCTGCCACCCTGTTTCCTATGCCAGAGCCACATTTGTTGCATCAATGCAAATTTATATATGAAGCCCACCAGGTGTTCTACTACCACCATTATTCTTCTAAACTTTTCCTAAAAAGAAGATGAATTTAAAATGGACAACCAACCTTCAAAGAAATATACCACCTCATATTTGAATAGCTCATCTATTAAACTGAAGAACAGCTGAAGACAGGAAATGAGGAATCACAGCTGTCTGGTAAATCCTAAAGAATAGTAAGGAAACAGACTCTCCTAATCCCCTCTAATTTATAAAGATTGGAAGAACGTATTTGAAGTAGGTCATCTCTTGTTCTTGCCAGACATCTCATCAGTAGATTAGGATATTTACACTTGAAAATACATTTTATACCATTAAAATACCATTATAATAATGATTTTTCCATATTTAACAAAAACTTTTCTTTACCTGAAACATAACTTTAAACATATTTTTCTTGCTTCTTGGCAGTAAAAACACTGGTCGACCACGTAAATCCATCCCTGAAGTACCTCATTAATCACAGTGCACTTGTTCTTGGCAAGAACCTTAATGTGCTACAAGAACTGTTATTAAAGTAAGATTTGGGGATTCCCATGCTGGCAGGGAATTAGTTACACTGCTTTAGAAATTGTTTTCATATAATTTCCTTTATTATTAATGGTCTTGTTAGACTTACAGCTCAAAATAACTTTATTCACTTAATGTGTAAAGCCTAGCTTTCTAAATAAACTATAAGCAGCAATTGCAAAGATGGCTTGTCCCTCAGGGTGGGCTATAGTTGTACAGAATCCTCCCAGAAGACGATGCTATCTATTCCCTCTTCCTGCTAATGTGGATCTAGCACCCCTATCTAATTGCTCAAGCATTACAGTTTCAGACTCTAGAAATGTATAAAGCAAAACTTCCTACCAGCACATGGTATTGACAAGCACATAATTTATTTCGTATCTCCCACTAAACCCATGGATAGGCTGATAAAGTCTGGTAAGCAGAGAACTATCTAAACTTGAGTCTCTTGAAAAATCACTTGTTAAAAATTTTAAATTCTGTAAGGCCACAAAAATCTGGTAAACACTAACATATTGAAGAGAAAATGTTGTATTACAATAAGTCCTCATTCATGTTCAAGGGCAAAACTTAGGAGATGCAAAGCATGAGCATCAGCCACAGTTGTCTCTCTCTCCAAATATGTAATTTACCAAAAATTAAAACTCACAAATGGCATCATATTGTAAATTCAAATATACAAATATTCTGAGCATACTCTTGTAAAAAAAAAAAGTCATTTTCCATACAGTATATATTTTGCTGCCAAACTGAGCATAGATCGTTATTGCTAAATGTTTTAGTAGATCCTGATAGGTTAAAATAATTTATCAGGTTCAGTAGGTAACAGGATTAATTATATGTATCAACTCAGAAAGGGCAAACATGGAAAGAATCTGTAGTATTTCTCTATGTCTATCATTTATTACAGAAACCACATCTAAATCAATGAGAATCTTACAGTAAGTGAATAGTAAAAGTTATACCGTTTGATGTAATAATGATGCTATACAACGTTCTCCTTGTGTACACTGTAAGATGGAAAGTTGGCTGGAATATTCTACCTAATGCTACATATACACATCAATCTGAGACTGTAAAATTTTCCAGACACCAGAGCCCCACAGATTGTAGACTCCACCAATTTCCTGACTCCTACGCGGTCAAATTCCAGGTTCACCTATTTACAAAACCAGCCCCTTCCTCCATGTTATTTCAAAAAGTGCTTCTGGTGTTGACGCCAATCCTCTATCCCAGGTGAGAGCTATGTTTGGATGACATGCCTCATTTCTAAAAGAAACCTAGTTCATGTGTTCAAAAGCTATTTTACTAGGAAACAAGGAAAGGAACAGTGAGTGCCTGCAACTTTTCTCTACAGGTCTCCTAAGGCTGATGTCTTTATATTTCATTTTAACACAAAGAAGCAGGGAAAAAAACACTAGGAAGAGATGGAAAAAAAATAAGAAAGGAATAATTAGGATACAACAGCATAAAAACTACCTTAAAACATCCAGATAAACCTAGCTCTAACAGGAGATTGAATGAATGGACCTTGTGGGAAAAACAGTAGTAAATTTTAAAGCCACTGAAAGGTTTTAAATGCCTAAGGGAAAAATAAACATTTGCTTCCAATCATTTTCTCATTAAGCATTCTCTGCTAGATGGTGAAGGCTTGCTTACACACACACACACACACACACATTTTGACTCAGCGGCACAAATGCCTACTTAACCCACTGCCTGATCCCTGTCCCAGGTGGCCCCTTTGCGCGTTTGCTATTGCACTTTGACCCGGGCTCCTGAGCCCCAGGCTCACCACTGGCCTCTGCCACTGCGCGGGGGCATCACCTCGCCCCGCCCAGCTTGCCTTTTCTAGACCTTGGCCACCTCTGTGGCAGGAGGGGCTACACGCACTGACAGATTTTCCGTTAGTGGTGGAGGTGGCGGCGAGGCGTGTTTCCGGGCGCACTTAAAACCTAGCTGCTCTCCCCACCAAGTAGCAGCTTCCCCAGCTCCGCCCCAGGGCTGAGGACCCAGCCCTCCGTTTCTCCTCTCACCACCGCGTCCAACCCTGCCATCTCCTCCTAACCTCTCCAATACACTCTCACAAGCCTCACACCGGCGCACGTCCTCCCTTTGCCTTTCCCAGCTCCCGGGCGCCCCTCGCGGTTGAAATTTACGTATCTCGGGACTTAATCGCTCCCAATTATCCGCGCAGCCTAAGTCCCAGGTCTGCCTGGCTCTTTCCTTCGGTGCCTAAAACTGCGGGGCAGCTCACTGGGTGTGTTCGGGGAGCCAGTTGAATCTGTAGAGGTAGAGGAGGTGGGGCTCAGGGAGGTGGAAGGCTCTAGGAGGAAGACCATAAACACGTGCAAAGAAATAAAAGCTACCACGTGTGCGCGCGCGAGTGTGTGAGATTGTGTGTGTGTGTGTGTGTGTGCACGCGCGCGCCGGGCCAGGGCGTGGGCGCAGAGCGCGTCCCAGGGGGCCAGGCATACAGACCCCCCGGAGCGGGCGTGACGGGGGGCGCGCGGGGGCCGCGGGTACTCACACGAACGCGTGGTAGATGAACGCCCAGCCGCGGGGTCTCTCCAGCACGTTGTACAGATAGTTCTGCACCCGCCGGTACTTGACGTTGCGCCGGCAGCTCTGGCTACTGGTGTACGAGAGCGGCTTCCCCAGTAGGCTCATCCGGGCCCCCTGCTTGCCCCGGCGGCTCTCCCTCAGGCCGCCGCTGCTACCGCCGCCGCCGCCACCGAGCGCGGCCGCGCGGGTGCCCAGCAGCAGCAGGCCGTCGCCCCTGGCGGCGGCTGAGTTCAGCAGCACCCTGCCCCGGCCCGACTCCACATCCTTCATGCCGCTGCCCAGGCGCCCCCCGCCCGCCGCCGCCGCCGCGCCGCTCTTCACCCAGAGCCCGGCGGCGCCGCCCTCCTCTCCTCCCGCGTGGTGGCGGGGCATGGCATCACCACGGGCACTGCGAGGGGGGCGCCAGTGCCTGTGGCGGGGGCAGCGGCCTCATGCGCGCGGGCGGGTTTCGAGGAGGAAGACGCGGCCGACGGAGAGCCCGCCGGCCAGCGACCTCCGAGATAGGGGCGGGGAAGCAAGCAGCCAGCACACCGCCGGGGCTTCGGGGTGGGGGCGGAGAGGGGTGTGCGAAGGAGGCCCAATTTCTAGCAGTCTTTAGTTCCAAATTCGAAATCAGGACCTGTTTGGGGGCGTCACTTTGAGAGGGTTTCTCTTGCTCCCTCTTATTCCGGCAGCTATCACTCCCTCCTTCCCAAGTGCCCCCAAGGCTGGACCCGTGGAGTGCGGGGCGCTCGGAGGCGCGCTCCCACGCGCGCACACCCAGCCCCAGGCTCCCCCTTTCTTCTCGCACTCGATTCCCCACGCCCAGACTGCGTCCGCCCCCTCCCGCAGAGGGGACGGGGCTCGGAAGCCCCTCTCCCAGGCGCGACTTTGTTTAGTTCTCTCGGGGGCTTGGGAGCTGTCCGTAAGGTAAGTCGGTCTCGTGCCCTGAGGAGAAACTGGAGATGCAGGTCTCTGCTCACTCCGGCCGCTACGATGCCGCGCCAGGTCCCGCCATCCTTGCGCAAGGGTGTGAGCGGCAACGGCCCTGACCTGCCCTGCAGGGCGACGCTCCCCGCAGTGGCGGTCGGGTTCCCGCACAGCTGGAGGGTTCCTGCCAGTTCAGTGTGCAGACCCGCAGGACACAACTCCCAAGCCGGAGAGGCGGGGAGCGGGCATCTCCCCGCGGCTCACTCCAGCTTTCGGGCTGTGACTTTCCATCCCAGCATCAGGTAGCAAGCCCTCGAGTAACTGGACATCCTTCCTAGCCCGGGGGGTGGAGTGTGGGGAGGGCATAAAAACTACAAAGCGGCTCCTCCGTGGTTAACGAGTTGCCCCGGGGCTCCGCCTGACAGCGGCGCGAAGCATGGGAGAGCGAACTGGGTTTCCTTAGTCAAGAAATTTCCATTTAAGTCCGAAAAAGTCATAAAACTGTTAAGTCTCGGCAGTGGCAGCGGCGGGCCCAGCGTCTGGGAGAAAAACCCCGGAGGGCAGGGAGCCCAAGACACCAGCTTCTCGGGGTCCTCACCCCACCCCTTGTAGGCTGTACCTTACACGGTGAGAGACGTGTGGCGAGTTGGGACTGGCTGAGTCTCCCACCACCTCTGACATTCGCGACCCAAAGCGTGCGCGCCCTCGGCGGGGAGGGAGGCCACGGTGCCACTGGCTTCGGCCTCTGGCCTTCAGCAACACTGCGTTATAAAGCACAAGCAGTTAAACCTCACAGTCAGTGTGGGGAAACTGAAAGGAAGCCGGGCTTGGAAACTTCTTCCAACAGCGTGGATTCTCCCCCCACCCCCACACCCCACCAAAATACGAAAGAAAACAACCAAGTTAAACTGAAGGAAGAACTAAGGTTCCACCACAAAGCCGGAGCAGGTAGAGATTTCCTTCTAGAAGCCTGAAACCGAGGCAATACTAAAGCAAAAGTCTTATTTCAGCTGTCTCCGCCCCTCAGAGATACTCTCTCAACTCCCTCCAGTACACACACCCACGCCCGCGGCAGCTCCTTTCCGCCTCTGGCAGTAGCTCCATTTAAATGCTTTACTTTTACTTTCTTTTACTTTGTTATTGTTCGCTCTTATTTGCGTGAAGCCCTCTCGCCGGCCCCTGGTCACCCACAGGACCCTGCTTCCCTCCCTCCTTTTCCCCAAGCCTCTCGGCGGCTGGCACTAGCTGCGAGCCGCTCGACGCAGCGGGCAGCCGTGCCACGTGACTGACTGTGCGCCAAGCACCAATACCCAGAGTCACTCTCTTTTTCTCCTAATACACTTCACACCCACGCACTGTGGAGGTGCGAGAGATTGCTCCGTGCCCTGCTATTCGAGGCGGATGCAGAGAGCGCCTTGGAGCGAGCTCTCCAATCCTAGAACAGCACGAGACCCCAGCTGAGGGTGGGGGGAGTTTGCGGTTGCTATATTTAGACTCCCCGCGGAGTTTTTGTGCAGGGACTTTCAGGGTGAAAAATCTAGAGACTTAAAATGACTCGTGTGCACGCTTTAAACTTGAATATCTTGGCTACTCTGCAGGCGAGAAAATGAAAACCATTTCCTCTTAAAAGCAATCTTTGACCACCACCGAGTAGGTTAGGGTCGCTTCCACCTCACTGGTGCGGCTGGGCCCAGCGTGCAGGCGGGAAGTTTTGGGAAGGTGGAACACGGACAGGGTTCTCTCGAAGAGAACCTGCTGCTTAATTTCCCAGTGATGTTTTCCTGGAGGTGCAGCAATAATATCAGTGAACCCGTGATGTTGATTAAGCAAATGACATGAAACAAACAAACAAAAAAATCAGATCTAGTGATCAGTAGCTGTTTAGAGCTGCTTTAATGGTTTACACCTTTGGGATCTTCTAGGGTAACCTCCAGTTAGAGAGCTAGTCCTGGGAAGGAGATCTGCCCAAGAGTTCACAGCAGGTTAGTATGAGGATTGCTGGGAATTCAGAAATCTCACCTCCCAGTTCAGTATCCCATCAAGGGGTCAGTCTTCAACTCCAACTGAGTTATGTACATAAGAGCACATGGTTTTATTTCAATGTGTCTATCAACTACTATTCAGAAAGAGGCAGTTAGCTGCAAGCCCTAACCTTCCTGCCCCTGAACACTCTGGAAGGAAAAGCCAAGTGAGGCTGCATGGCCTCTTCTACCAGATTCTACCAGATTCTCTGTGTGTACATTGCTTCCTTTACTACCTGCTAACTTCTCCCAAAAGGCAGGAATTAACTGTGGGGGAAAAAAAGTATTGTCATCAAGCTGTTTCTGTTGTTGTACCTTTGAATACAAATGTTGCTAGGAAACTGCCTTTTATTTTGCTGAAATATTAAAATCCAGATAGAAGAGAGGATGGCATATTGTGCAAAGTAAAACAATATAGGGTATATTCTGTGCATAACAATTACATTAGAGCATTATAAAGAGATATAAAAGGCAAAAGACAACCACTTTTTCCTAAGGTAAATGTTTATTCCTAGTGTAAAGTGTGAATTGATTAGCCTTCCCTATCCTTTGGAAATGGGTTTGCTTTTAACCATTCATTCTCTACACATTGTAAGATGCCTGCCTGAATTTGTGACCTTGGAAACTTGTGTTCTCTGAAGTCTACATGGAGATGGTTTCAAGTGAAAGTAGTTACCAGAAATATTTTATCTCAGTGTGTTTTCTAGCCCATTGTATTTTTCTTCTGAAGGCTACTCTAAAATAACAGTATTGAAAATTCCATACAAGAGCTAGGAGATAGATGCCCAGGAAAGACTTTTCAGGCAGAACAACTAGATCTGAACTGTTTTCACAAAATGTCAGTGATCCCATTACTCTCCCCCTCTTTCCTTTTTCTCTATGACTTTCCATCTTCCCATTGGCCTCAGCCCTACCCCCTCAACATACCTTCCCATCAGGTCATGTTCTTGGTTCATCTCAACTAGTGAGTGATACAAATGCCACTTTTGAGTGATGTGGGTACACTTTGATCCACTGTGAGATTCCTGGGTCAACCATGGTAGTAATGATAAGTAGAATCCTCAAAACTTAGAGCCAAAAGGAAATTTACTGAGGAAGAAATGGAAATCCATTTTTTGGCTGCTGTTCAGTGACTTGCTCAAGGCTTAGCTATTTGTCTTAGAGGCCTAGAGGTACAAGTGAAGTCTCCTAACTCTTGAATAGAATGCCCTTTCAGCTATACCATCATTTTTCCTTAGCTTTTATTTCCCTCCCATCAGATCATAACCAAACCAATAAGCATAGCAACTATAAATGCATTTGTTATGGTTACCTCCTTTTATTATTTTTAATGTATTTGTATTGTGGTACTGGCTTTTTCAGAAAGACTCTGCCCCTGGGATGCAGAAAGGGTGTAGGTGGAGTGTATGTGGGTGTGAAGAGAGGCCGGTAGGGGAGCAGACAAAGAATGGGGGAAAGACTGAAAAGGGTCCATCCATTTTCATCATAGCAACTAATCAAAATTTATTTTCCTAGGAATTACTAAAATAATGTGCTAAAAACCACTGTCAAAGAAAAATAACATTTAGCATGTGTTACTATGCACAATGATTTGCAAGAATTATTTTATTTGATTCTGACAGCCTCACAAGTAGGCACTGCAATCATATCCAATTTATAGGGGAAGAAACTGAGGTGTGGACAAGTTAATAATTTTTCAAAACTAATAGTAGTTGAGCCAGGACCCAAGCTTACGGGTATTTAATACAAAAACAAAATAAAACCCACTGAAACAAAGATAAAAAGCTAGATTTTTTAACTACTAAAGTATATCAACTTTTGAAATAAAAAGCTTAGCCTATTAATGTGTGTTAATAATTTTGACAGTTTCTCTTTCCAAAAGAAAAGTATTGGGAAGTATCTATTAGTTGTTTTAAAACAGGATTTGGGGTTTTATTCTAAACATAGAAATAGCCTCAATATTCCTCTTCACTATACCTGCAGTAGGAAAGGCTTCCTTTCATAGATACTTTTTTCTATTGAAAATTTTAAACCAGTCCCAAATCTTGTAGTATCAATTCCTTGAAATTGTATTTACATTGATTTCTTTTTCCTAATACTACCTTCACTTTTATTCATAAAAGTCTGTTTGTTGTATCTAAGTGATACAAGTGCCTGATTTCATTTTCTTCTGACATGTTAGTATGGCAGCAATACTCTCTTTCTTTCAGCCAACTACTTAAGCTCTTCTTTCTGAAAGTAATTTGAATCAGCTATTTGATCTTTTAAAGATCCATATATATAGAAACTGTGTTAAGAGATTGATACAGAAGGAAAACATCTTTGAGCTAGTGTACTGGAAAATTCTGTTAGAATTCTGTGCCCCCTAGTGGCACTCACATTTTACCAAAACTTTTTCAAAGAGGAATCAAGAAGGCATGCTTTATGAATTTCCCAAAACTTACTCATTTTTTTCAACAAGCAATCATTAATTTCAGGTGCTGTGCTAGCTGGAATGGGTACAAAGATGAAAAACAGTCCCGAATCTTATGACGTTCATGGTCTAGTCAG